TGATGATGATGATGATGATGATGATGATGATGATGATGATGATGATGATGATGATGGTTAGGTTGCAGGCCATTATCAAGAATAGTCGCCATTGTTTACCGACTGTTACAGGTAATAGGACAGACCCAAAAATAACACCTCAAAGGTTCAGAATGATTCAATTCGTGATAGGCGATGCCTACGAACATCCCTTGACTTGACATCCCTTCACACACCTCTTGGTACCATGCGCTTGGAGCCCCTTGAGCCTTGTGGGGTGTCCCGGTAGATGACAAGAATGGCATGTCATACAGGAAGGTGAAGAAAGAACACGATCTTCTTATGACAAAACCTTGGCTCCTGTAGCTTGAAACTCGTCAAAACCATGTTGCAAGAGCTCTCCCTGCCTCTCTTTTTTGGGGGGGGAGCGCTCCCACCACGGCTCCAACGGCCGGCCCAAAGGGATGAACGGTTCCCCCGGTGCGGCCGAGAGACGCAAAGCGACCCACATGGGAGAGCTTGCCACTGATAAAGCGCCTTGCCTTGTGGTGATTTCTGGACGGAAGGGTGGTCAGAATCGGGTTCTCTTCCTGAACCCAGCATTTGTTCACAAGTGTTCTCTGCCAATGGCACCCATGAAATGCGCTAGAACTTCTGGTTTGGGCCTTTGCTTTAGCCTTTGAGTGGATGATCTCGTCTACTAGTCTATATACTGTCAAAATTATATACATAAAACATATAAAACTACTATACTATACTTTCTATACATCCACTGCCGTGCTTCAACCCCAGAACTTTCTGTGACAACCCAGCTTCAGCATAAGGGCTTTGATTGGATCCACCCTTCAGCATAAGGGCTGCAATTTCACTCGACTTCGCTCGAGGTAACTAGGTCTCCAGGTGAAACGCAAAACGCTTGGTGGAACGTCGCAGGCAGCGGCCAGCCGTTCTTCGCCGTGGTTCTGAACGGAACCCTGAGATCTGGTCGTTCATCAATGACCATATTTCTCAAAGCAAAGTCTCTTTTTATGTGTTGCCAACAAAGCACGTAGTCATATATGAGTCATGTCCTATTCAACCATCTTCTTAGAAGTAAAATACATGTAAAAATCGGCCGTTTGTTCTCCCAACAAATGGCACATGGAAATCCTCAGGATCACGTGGCCAACCCTGGCTGCGGCGCTTCATCTCTCCGTGGCCCCTTCACTCCATGGGATTGAAGATGTAGCGCCGTAGGCAGCCACTCTCATCCACACGGATTTGGACCTGGAGATGGCTGCAGATTGGTCATATATACTGTACTGGATATATAATTAACAATTGTGTAATTATATGATATATGATATACGTATATAAATAATATGTACGATATGTGTACATACACCTAGGCCTAGAACCAATGTTGATCTCCTTTTTGATAGGAAAATACCATGTTTTTGGATAGTTGATCCTCCAGCTATATACACCTGGACCATCCAAGGGATGCCCAATGGAGATCTTTAAGCAGTGTAGGACTGTCCATTGGACACCCAAACAGGATGGTCCTGGTATATAAGTTGGTTCTTCAAGGGATGTGGGGTCTGGTTCAAATAACAACACTCTTGCCAGATTCAGATGGGTGATGTTTCAAAGATTCATTTGCACTTCGAAGACAGTTCAACACTTCTTTTGCATTGGCAACTCATGGGATTTACGATGGTACTGACTCATGGCAATTCGTGTTGGGAGAGGCTAAATAGTTGACAGTGCGCGGGGCTTCCACTTCAAACTTGTGTCACTGACCGACCTTGACCTTGAAGTGTTGGGTTTGGGTTTGCCACCATGTGAGCGGTCGGTCGGGGAGGTTGCTGCCCGTCCAAACAGCCGTTGTGAGTCCCGAAGCAAACCATCGGGATTTCCGTCCTGTGCGTCTGCGGCAATGGATGATGCATAGACATGTTCGTGCGAGGATGAGATTTGCCTTCTGATACTATTCCCAGACACTCTATGTATGCCATATATGCCTACATTGGGGTGGTTTTAGGGGTCAATGTATGTAAATATGCCAGTCCCATGGAGCGTCTGGGATTGGATCCCGACCGGGCCGAGCTTTTGGGGTTCAAGCTTTAAGGTCCTGAAATTTGCTCCATCGTGGCAACAAGGTTTGAAGCTATATGTGAGTCTGGGGGGGATGTGCCTTTCGATCTTGTCCGAAGCATACCATACATACCACCTGACTACCTTCTCAGCCAAACAACCCTATTATTCTCCATGCCAACCCCAACTTCAGCGCCCGCACCACGAGATTCACCGTCATGAGCTCCTCCCCAGCTGGGCTGGTGAGCGCCAGCTGCAACAGGCCATTGCTTTGCTGCCAAAGCGCCTGGTCGCACCCCAAAGACACGCGAAAAACACCAAAAAAAACGCGGGTCCCCCAACGAAAACGTCCACCGTTGGGGGGTGTGGGTGGGACTTCCGGGTGCTGTTTTTCAGTCGAACCTTGCTTGGAAACTCGGTCCAGCGCGTAGGAAGGTATCAAGAGGTCCAAAAATGGGGCACACTGTGCCCCTCACAGAAGTTACAAATGGGACTGGAATAGATTGTTTTGGCGTGTCTATATATATACATACCAGCACCCTCCAACAGGTCACCAATTGAGACCTCTTAGGCCTAACAACTCTCTTTAGAAGACCTGTTGGAGGGTGCTGGTATATAATATGACTGTAAAGAATTACACAATAAAGCTAATTTCGTTGCATTCGGTTCTAATTTCGTTGCATTTGGTTGTGGCCACTTTTGCACAACATCATGGTATGACATGTGGATTTTACCGCATCCTTTCCAACCACCTGGGGATCACAAAATGCAAAGATAAGAAAACTTAAGGGAACTTCAAGGAGGCAAGGAGGTACGTTGAGGTCCTCCCCATCCATGTGTTGGCTCAAACAAAAAGTCTATTCACGCTGACCCGACCGAAACTGCCCGCCACTCAGATTTTCTCTCGTGTCGAGTGAGCACAAAGCTTCTGAAGCGTTTCCGGAGCACAATACTGAGTATTGTTGACTGTGTAGCTTACTTCCAAGCCACTTCCAAAACCTACACCTCAGACAACTTTGTCCCATGGCCACTTTCATGGCTAGAACCCCATAGATTCATCTCAAGAATCCTAAAGCAGCCGCAGAGTTTCATTGGCTGCAAGTTTCCTTCCCTTGAAAGAATCACGAAGGAAGTACAAGGGCTTTCGCGGAGTCAGTTCATTGTCCGCTTGGATGTAGCCAACACGCCAGATCCGCTGGACAGATCTACTGGCATTGAGTACCTGGGCTACAGTACACAGAACCTATTTATTATACTAGCTATATCTATTTTATATATTAGCTAATAGCATAGGTTGGTCAGAGAGAAGAAAGGCAGCGATCAGAGAAAAGAAAAGGCAATCAGCGCACAGAGAAGAAAAGGACATCAGTGCATATTGGGACACCAAATTGTTGAAGGAGCTGGCAATGTTTGAGTGCTTAAAGCCAGTGAAAAGAGGATTCCACTGAATGATCCATTTCTTGTCCTTTGGCTTGATCTCGAAGCAATCCACAGGATCTCCACCTGTCACACAGAGTTTGCTGCTAGGTTGACTTGTTTGTGTTAGTTTTCTTTTCCATCTTCTTTTGGGTGTCCTGAATGTTGTTTGTGCGCGGTTGCTCCAGAATGACGTTGGCCGTCCAGTCCAGTGTACCTCTCATTACTCTTGCCAAGTTGCGGCTGTCTTCCATTGGCGATTTGCGCGTCAGATTGTGCGCGCAAACAGTCGCATCCATGATATCATTCTCCTCGAACTCAAGGAGTGGGGACCTGAGTGTTGCTCTCTCTGAGTCTTTCATGGATTTCGAGTTCTCGCTTTGGATCTCAAGAATCATTTTCGTCTCGTCGGAGGTCACTTCAAAGGGCGTTGTGCATTCAAGCGCCCGGCCTCCAAAATGGCAACATCAAAAAACAAATTATGAACCCTTGGCGATTAAAAGCGGCATGCAATGCCAGAACGTCCTTGCAGCGCAGGTTGGACAAATGTTTTGGTCATCCTAGCGATTGATGCCTGGTCGAGTCTGCTAGCTACATATGGCATTCCCCTGCCATGATGTCAAAATGAAAAGGCGAGTCTGGCCAGAAAATGGCTAGCCTAACAGCCTTGACCTAGTCTGCTGCAGAAGCATCGTGTGTGCCAGACAGCTCGTCAGGCTCGTCAGAGCCCTCAAGAAAGACCATGTCAGTGTCACTGATGACATTTTCCTCCTCATCATCAACTGGTGGAGGAGCCTTGTCCTCAGGTTCAGCCATCTCAGCCTCCTGCTGACGATCCATGTCAGCATCTTCCCTCGCAGAGGGCTCAGTCGAAGCAGGACGAAGTCGGCGGCGAGACAGCTCTGACTTGGAAAGCGTTCCCATAAATGCCAATCGTTTTGGATGATGTTGCCACCTGAGCTCGACAAGTAGTGCCAGCCAGCAGCAGCAGCAGCAGCAATGAACAGAACATCCTACAAAGACGCTGGCGCATGTTATCGCAAACACACTTGAATTGATACTCATTCCAAAAATTGAGGGCAGCACGAAGATCGAGCATGTGCCAAAGCCTCCTTTGCAGGCATCCCCTCCTCCTTCAACTTGGCAATGGTCTCACGCAAGTGAGAATGGAACACACTCATCATGCTCAGCTCGCTCTTCTTCTCAGACTCACTTGATGTCTTGCCTTTGGGCTCTGAAGGTGTCGATCCTTTTGGCTCCTTTTGGTTTTTTCCCCTCTTCCCAAAGCGATTCCCTTTTGCAACTTTCTTTGCCTTCATTGCACGAGAGACCTTCTTTGGTGAAGGCTTGGCCTTGGCCTTGGCTGCTGGCTTTTTGAATGCTGCAGCTGATTTTGCCTTCGCCTTGCTCTTTGCTTCTGGTTTCGAAGCAGCAGCATCAGCAGCTTTGGACTTTGGTTCACTCTTGGCTTTTCCCCTCCTCTTAGGCTCCTGCCCCAGGACCAAGGTGGTAGACTCTGAGTCTTCCTCGAGTTCCTCTACCTCCTCCATGACCATCTCACCCTCCTCACCAGGCGCGAGCTCAGGCAAGAGCCGACGACGTACTGGCTTGTCGCCATTCTGAGCAGGCTCAGTCTTTGGGTCGGAGTCGTCTTCTTTTTTGTTTGCTCCTCTGCCGCGTCCACGCCCTCGACCACGCCCACGACCGGCTTCAGCCTGTTCTTGAGTGCCTGGTTTGGAGAAAGTCGACTTCAACCCTTTGACTGCGGCCTTCGCAGCATTCTTGTCTTCTTTCATCTTCTGTCTTGCCTCTGCAATGTCTCCTTCAAGCTTTTGTTTATCCTTTGGATCCAGCAATGGGTTGGCTGCCCTGTCCAAAGACGAACTCGTAGAAGGCAATGGTTTTGGCTTCGATTTTGTCTCTGCTTCACTTGTCGCAGCCTTCGGTTGCATCTCTGCTTCAGTTGTCACTGGAGGGAGTGACTTGGTCTGGGAAGTCTCAGTCTTTTGCTGAGCATTCATCTCCTTAGAGACATTCTTTGCCGACTCCAAAGAAGCCGTGCTGACTGTGACTGGTACTCCTCGAGTGTGGCGCTCCTCTAAGGCCTCAGGCTGATCTTTTGGAATCACCTCAGAATCTTGATTCTTATGCTTGACCTCCTCAACAATTCTTCCACGATGACGTCGATTCATCTGGTCGTCTTCGAGAGGGGAAGGTGAAGGGGTCGCCTGCAGATCAGAAGTGACAGCGCCAGACAAACGTGTAGGTGGTGTCTCAGTGAAGCCAGGACTTATTTGCATCATGCGATCGATATCCTGAAGGATGGAACCAGATACATTTAGGGTTTGAAAGTCAATGTAAATATGACTAATATACATTTTTTATAGTTAACTATATAATAATAACAAAACTATTTAACTATATATAGCTATATAACTATATATAGAACATAGTCTTATGAACGTTAATTGAAACACATCTCCACCCTGTCCGCTCGAAGTCCGTAGTGCTCCAGCATTTGCTGCAAAGGAGAGGTCGTGTCGGACATCGCAGCAAGAGAGTCGCAGGCAAGACTAGAGAGTAGGGGTGTCTGCCAAATAGAGCCTAAATCATGCCTTCAACCATGCTTCTTGAGAAGCACGAGTTCTTGAGAAGATACGAGTAGCAAGTTCGTACATGCTCAATATAACCTTTCCTGCCTCCGCTCTCACGAACAAGCTTGGCGACGCGTTCCTCCTTCATGTAGGAGCATTTGCCATGTCCGATGATAGGCTCTGCATTGTCCAAAGTCATTGGCATATGGGCCACCTGGTTTGGGTGGTTTAGGAAAACCTCAGAACAGTTTCACATCCCAGACCTCCCAAAAACAACACCCCTTCCATAACCAACCAACAAAAGCATAAGAATCAACTGAGCATATCCTGAGTGGCGAGAAAGAGCTTCTGTGTTTGACCTTCAACCACATTCTCGCTGGAGTTTCCAGAACGGGGCTTGGCATCTACCAAGTATAGAGTAGCTTCTGGAAATGACGATGAGAGCTTACACTCAACGTTGTAAGTGTTGATCAAATCATTCAAAGTTGGTGGTTCACCCTCCCACATCGGCAACTCCTCTTCAGGTTCATCAGATGGCGCTGCCACGACGGCGTTTTCCAGAGGCGTGACATTGAACCTTTGACAGGCATCAGTGCATCAGTGGTTGGTTTATAACCTTAGAGAGTACAAGAGGGGTCCTTTCTGGAATAAAACCTAAAACTTGACAGTGAGTACTGATAGCAAATATAGGGAGCTTTGAATCGAAGTCTGAGATCAGGTTCTTCCATTCACCAGCCCTCAAAGGGTCCTGATGGTACATCAGCCTGACATTGTTCGGAAGGTTGAACTTGAATTGTTTGACTCCACGTTGGGACGAATCCACGGAGACGCTGACAAACTTCATTGGGTAGTCAGTCACATTCAGATTCTGGGACACTGAGACCTCTGGATCGTAGGCGCGATGGCTGCTGAAGATCGCTGAGCCTTTCTTCCAGTCCTGGTCAGGGGCCAAGAAACATGGTGAGGATGGCGAGGAAGGAAAAACAAACTGGGGTGCATTTGGCTTCCAAACCAATTACTGTATCTTCCAAAGAGTTGGAGGCCCAGACTGTCCAAAGGATAGAAGTCTAGATATGTTTGGTCATCAGCATTTTGCTTCTGATTTGTTGATTTTTACAAGTCAGGCCATTTGTGTGTTCCAAACAGTCCTGCAAAAGCTGATTTGCAACCACCCGTTCCGAATAGCTCACATGATCAATATTCATTCCCAGTGAGAAAGACCGCAGTGTGTGAGCATCTTCGCCATGGGTCATTTTCCACTTCAGTGCCACCCTCTCCAAATGACCATCGTATGGACTGAGATTCACGACTGCAACAGTCTTTCCACTGAAGGTGGACCCACTCAACAAAGCCTCTAAGACCACAGTAGGTAGCTCTGGGCCGGCCAGAAGTTGAGCTGACTCGTGGCACTCGCTCATCGATCTGCGCACAGCTTAGGGTTTGGATAATTGCTGAGAAAGAGTTTCCTATTTGATGCATCTCACTCTTGAAAGTTGAGGTTTGGTTGAATCAGGTTCTAAAGTTGGGAAGTGTGCTCAATCACAGAACAGGAGGTTAAACATACCAGTCAGTCTGATTCGTTGGCAAACATTAGATTTATACAACAGGTAGTTTCAAACCAATTGCCTGGATCCCTCGGCTGCGCTTGGAATACTGTCCTTTCCAGTGGAGGGGATGATGTAGTCCGACTCCGGAAGAAACTCCACAGAGGAACGCGTTGACCTACCAGGTTTGTTTCCCTCTATTCAAAACCAGTTATTTTGCCGACAACAGCAAACAACCATTATGAACAAGGGCGCCGACAGCTGTATGTATATATATATTATACACATAAAATTTATAAATACCAGACATTAATGTTCACAAAGATTGCCGCCTGTCAGTCATCAGCATAGACTGGAAGAACACGTTGTCCTCGACACTTGTGTCATTCAAGCAAACCCACGCTGGGTATGATATTGGGACACGCTTCACTGCTGCCGGTGGAGAGCATCTCACAGTGACGGCATAGGACATCACCCCTTTGGCGTCAAGCTTATCCTCCAGTCGCCTGAAGGGTCAGAAATAAAAGTGAATCTGAACAGAAACAAAGTAAGTAATTAAATAAGCACATGGGTCACAGAGGGTGAAAACAGTTGCTTGCTAAAAGCAATATTTCATACGATGTTCATATACTGGTTAGCACTTGTTTGAGTCACTCGTATGGCCTCACTTCACCACGAATGCCGTGAAGTACACGGTCAGATACCAAGTATGGCGCTAAGATAAATGCTGCTGAGTGGGTTGCTTTTCGAGACAGGATCTTCTTCAAAGCCGCGCATAGTGTCTCAAGCTCATGACCAGCGACTCGACCAAACTTCATGAGGTCCAGCCAAATTATGCATGCTCCATCTTTGCTGAAGGTCTCGCTGACGAACTGACACAGGGTGGTATAACGGTGGAATGAAAACTACGAATGTAAGGTTTGGAGATATTTATGGTTTTGGAGGGGTTTGCAAACAGGATATATTTGAAGAATACCAGTGCCTCTCCCAGCTTTGCGTCCGCATTTGATGCCCCAATTGGCATATGAACGCAGGACTTGTCAGTGAAGGTCGTGACAACTCCAGCTCCGATTCTATTCTGTTCTTTGAGGTGTGTAATGCGCGCAAGTCGAACTGTCCGGTCATTGCGATCAGCTGCTTCAAGAAGTTTGGCTGCCATGGAAACGTCTCTACACAGCTTCAGGCAATCAGCTTGCCACGTGGCGTCATTCTTGTCAGCCTCAAACGCCATGAGCTGTTTCTCAGCATTGACCAAAGCTTGCTCAGTCTCTTTCTCTTTGTCAGGAACGTATTCCTGCCACATGGTCACTGAGGTGTGATCAAAGCACGGATCAGAGCAGGACACGTGGGACATGAGGTTCTCGGTGTAGTCCCTGGATGGTTGATGTTTAATCAAGACTTAAAGACACACCTGGAAAGTACGATGGTTTCGCCTCAAAACAAATCTTATCACAAATTCAATCCAAAGGTGCCCTTCGATGAAGCGCTGTCGACATGTCGCAACCACCGAATCATTAAAGACTCTGGCATTGCACTTGGCAGTATCCACCTCGATGGACATCTTGTGCAACATGAATCCAGCCAAACAAGCCGCATCTGCCTCCCTCTCAAACTGTTGGCTGCTGAGTCGGACTGACTGAGAGGCTGTGGTGTTTCGCTGGACTGCCAACCTGTGCAAAAAAAAGCACTCTGGACACAAAAAGGTTCTGCTTAGAGGGCTCCATCAGCAAAATGTCCCGCCAGCAATGGTCAGCGTGTCTCGCACATGACCCCAGAAGCCATCTCTCGTTCAAGAGGTGCTCTCGCGAGAAAGCTCAGGGCAGAACAGAATAACAGGATATAGCAGGAACCACAATAATAATTGTTATTATCATTATGATGCCATATTACTCCTACGTATATGGTTTGTAACGTACGTGTCGTGTGACTGTGTCTCATTTCTGGTTTAGGTACTACTCTTAAAAAACAAAAGCGATACTCGTGACATGTTTTGTGCTCCACCCACCCCTTGTTGTCCTGAGCGCTCAACGCGAAACATATGAAAATGTCGCTCGATCTCTGTCCAATTCTGGTCAGTCAATCCCACTTGCAGAACGAGATAAGTGTAAAGTCTTGAAGACGAATTGGAAGTAAACCTACAGAGGCCCCATACCAAAATTATCATAAAATAGTAAATTGTTTGATTATGCTAGGCCACCTTCAGTCCATACAATCGCAAAGATGTGGCTTCATCGATTTGCAGTCGCACGTTCTGGGAAGCTGCTCCAAACTCGTTATACTGCTGACATGCCTCTAGGAATGCCTCCTTATAGTTCCAGCTGGAGTCTTCTGCCTTCAGGGTAGACCAGATAAACATAAGATTATTATCAAGGTGAATGCACGATATCAAAAAGAGCGCACATATAGCCACAAGTACACACACACACACACGGTTTGGTCAGTGAAGGTCCTGCAGCTGAACAGCTCGTGCATGGAACACCAAAGCTTGCTGCAAACAGTTCTTCTGCTGTCTCAATGCCGCTTGCTGGTGCAATTGCATACGCCTGAACATCCACTCATGAGGCATTGCCTGTGGAAGGTGAACGCAATCCACAGTCATAGCAATGATGAGGAACCTGTCCGAAAACACATTCAGATTTCTTTTGTGTTACATACAAAAAGAAGCTGTATGTTTCATACAACATATAATGTTATTATTATATATAGTTATATATATATATATGCATCACACGATCAATGCACACACCATGGTACAGAAACAGAAGACTCATGGCTTTTCTGAGTGAGGCCTATTTGACTCTTTCTCAGGGTGCGCAGTGTGGGCCCTCAAGTCAAGGTGGGACGCACGATCAAAACTGTGTTGCGCTCACGCTGCACCAGAATTCCTTCTATTTGTTCAAGGTGCATTGTTGGCCAGTTTGGGATGCGATCTGAAGTCTATCAGCTATTGGGGTTTTATCTACGAATTGTGATTGGGTATGACCATTCAGGTATGTGGCAAACATGGTCACAACCAATGCTGTTGTTGTGACGAATTCCAATGGGTCGTAGTGTCTAGAGGTCTAGCTGTCACGTAGTTGTGTATGTACCCTTATATATCTTATATTACCTATTTTTGAAGTTCGCTTGAAGGCTCACAAGTGTGTGTGTGTGTGTGTGTCTGTTGGTTGGTAACTGTGATCTTTTTATGTGCGACCATGTGTCGTTCTGTAGGTGTTCTCAAGACTGGAACATGGAATGGAGATAGCCTGAATAGAGATGGAAATGGAGATAGCACATATTGCAGTTCTCAGTAGTTCTCGTACAATATCGAATCAATGTTTTCTTCTTAAGAGCCTATTATTTATAAGAATTTACATGTAAAGCAAGTTCCCCAGAAAACTTGTCCACCACGACTTCCACCATCCACGAGGGTTTCACCCCCATCCACGACGGTTTCGCCTCGATCCACGACGGTTTCGACCCCCCTCCACGACGGTTTCGACCCCATCCACGACGGTTTCGACCCCATCCACGAGGGTTTCAGGCCGGAACTTTGTCGGACCTCACATGTACTATTGAGGTCCTCTAGCTAGCTTTTGGGGATCCACGACGATTTCGACGAAATCCTCACCTTTGGACTTAGTGCAGTTTGACATCCACGAGGATTTCGATGAACTCCTCACCTTTACCCTTTCTTTGGACTCTATATCAGGCTTTCGATGAGCACAGAAATATGTGATAATTTTTTTGGGCCCTCTTCTTTAAAGGGAATTGAAAGGGGATCCAAAGCGGCACCTTTGGGCCTCCCAAGTTTCAGGTCCTCAAAGGACGACCATTCCAACGAAGTGCTCACCTTTGGGAATATTACTTTGGAATTTCACTATCAGAAAACCAGGGGATTCTAAGACAAGTTAAAAATAAATATCAAGAAAGCCTTTCCCAAAGACGAGGAATCCAACGAATCGCTCACCTTTGAAGCTTCCAAAACTTGCATGTCTCAAGGACGACCCTTTGAGTCCTTTTGGTGATCCTTTCCCAATTGATACATTCCTGGCCACGCCTGTGAAAATCTCTGTTCTGGTCACCATTCATGGAGTCCTTATGCTTAAGGAACGTCCAAACCACTGCGAACCACAAAGCGCTCACTCGCCCAAATCCTTTGTTGGGCAACACGGACCCAGGCTGCAAGTCTTCGCCTGGTGAAAGCCCAGCCTGAGGCCTGATTTCGATTGCAGTTCGATGCGTCTCGAAACCAGCCACATAAATATCAAGTGCATTCTGGGTCCAGTCCCCCACAATCGGAAGGCCGTCTTCGGGCTTTGTCAGAGCAAAGGCCAACAAAGAAATAGGGAATGGTCTGGCCTCCGCACCAACCTAGGTCTTTTGTTTGCAGCAAATATAATGTAGGAGCCAGGAAGAGATACTAGCGAACAAAGAATGAAAACGATACAGACTAATCTCCAACAAAGATACTGGCATCTTTGATTCTTGAGGAAGCTTGGCAGTTGGTAACAGCTCTAGAATCCAAGTCGTCAAAGGTCCAAAAATAGACTTGTCACTCAACTTCTCAATGACAAAGCCTACTGGATGTTCATCTTTGGCAATGTCAAAACTCCTCAGTAGCTGGGTTTTCATCAATGATTTTCAAACATATATGCTTGATAGGAGAAAGTGAGGCAGACACTCGATCCCTTCCTTCATGAGCGCCACCCATGGCGGCAAAGCCATTCGCAAGGCTTTTCGGCCTCCAGACCCACTGCCAGATCCATGGCCTCTTTTTCCCATTGAGGTGCCTTTTGGGATGACGCGTGCTTTGTTCCGGGTTGAACCAAAGCTGAATGACATTGGGAGGACTTGAGACCATTCTACTGGTAAGCGTTGCCATTGCCAAACAGTTCATGTCATACTATTTTCACGACCTTGCTGTGAGGTGGTGAGATCTAGGCTCCATCACAATTAATTAGCTATGGAAACTCAGGAAACCACTCCTGAAAGCATGTTACACACTTCATGAGCAGTCTCAGACTAAAAACCTGTGTGTGTTGGGCAATTTGAAGAAGGCAAACAAATGACTAAAGATATTATTATTTGTTATGTTCTATTTCCTTCATTGGCCAGTCAGAGTTTGACCTAGGCTTTGCCCATGGTCATAACGCATGCCAGAACCAGCGCGCCAACACATGCTGTGTTCATAGCATTTCCTGCGCATGACACCAGCTGCGTCGCAGTGGCCCCATCAGTAATTAGTTTTGGGGCACCGCAAATCCTAGCGTGATTCGCAGTAGTAGGGACCAGATGGGTGCTGATCATCTCCTGAGGGCTTAGTCGTCGACCCAGGTCCTGGGGGATTGGAATGAAAGCCTTTAAGCAATAGACGAACTGAATCTCTTTCAGAAACTGTAACCTAAACACGTTTTCACTTCTAATAGGTCCTTGCTGAAGATACATCCAGAGTTGCAGGTCAAGGTCTGCAAAGCACCATCTTTGCATTCCCCTCGTGGTCGAGAAACCGCAAGTTGGGTCAGGTCAGGGAACTTGATGTTCGGGTGGAGAGTCGAGTACGCTTCCAGGTTTCGCTCCTATAGGTGGAACAAACAATAGTCAGATTGAATAAGCTCCAATTCGACCATTTACAAACTTATATTAAACGTAGAAAACACATCTAATGACTATTATATGGTCTCCTGACTCTGGGTCAATGGGGCACTTGGGCAATCTGCTTTCTCCTTCCAGTAGTAGTCCATAGCCCCGAGAGTTGGTTGTGCCTTCAAGCATTCCAACACCTCCTGAATCGAGATACCACCATTCTGCTGAACAGAGCCTTTGCGATACAGAA